ACAGACTCTCCCCCGTCTGTAAAGACATAGGTACGTACACTGACAACTGCACACTAGAAACACTATAATGAAAGTGGGAGACTTGCCCGAAGGAGTCAAAGACAATGTCGTACTGAGGTGACACCAGGAACTGGGGTTTTGCAGTCCTCCCGCCTTCCTGATACTGTATGCCTATACTGTTGCAAAGTGGTATCTCCAATTTCCATGGAAACTCCCTGCAGGGTAATTAGAGCCCAGTTTATAAATTTAAAATAGGTAGAGCTTGGTATCCTCTGATGCATACCTGTGTCTACTTCCTGCTGGTAAAGTTCTGTGGCAAATCAAGAACCTTTTGGGGATCCTCAGGATGAGACAAGACAGATAAAACATCTGACCAGATGGATGTCACCACTGTTCTTATCCAGCAGCTACATTCACCTGAAACACAACATGGGCAACTGAGCCACCCACCTCTCCTACCTGCCCTGAACTCTGCCCCCTGGCTGGTGGTTCTCAGACCAGCCCCGCGCAGATACTCGAGTGGCCTTGTCTGCGCCTCCTCATTGGAGTCCATTTTTAAGGGACAGTCAAGGAAGAGAAGCTAACAGCAGTGAAAAGGGCTGTTAGTTCCATGATGACAGGGTCTCTGCTAAAATTTTTCCAATGATCAACATTCCCGTTCAAACATCAGAGGAAACTGTGAAAAAGAAGATTGTAGTCCTGGGTGTTCCATTGTAACAACTGCTGCCACCACAAAGTCAGATCACCATTGTTTCATTAGCCAGAACAATATTTATGGTTGCAGCCCATGTCAAATTAGTGCTCTAATTTCTTTTAAAGACTTAAGCCAAGTATCACCAGTGAAGACATCAGTGCAGAGGCAGCAGCTATGTGGGTAAGGTGGCTCATCAACTCGTGGCTACAAAAATAAGGAAAAACTAAACTCCCCCTGGCTTGCTTGGAAACCTTACAGAATATTAATGTAATGGGTTCATAACAGGCAATAACCCTCATTTTAATTAGAATCCCACACTTAAGATGGAAAAGATCTATTAGGTCACCTGGCCTATCACATTCCCCATCCCCTCTTCAATGCAGAATGGTTCCCTGGGGTCTGCTAACAAATGCATGGCTCAGTCTAAATTTAAATGACTGCAACTATGAGGTTTATGTCATTTCCCATGGGAAACTATTACTCAGTCTAATGGATTTCACCATGATTTTTTCCCCCAGAGATTCAGCCCAAATTTCTCTTTGCTTGAGTTTGTCACATTTTTCCACATTATATACACTCAGATTCAGAAAAATCACAAAAATGACAATGAGAATAGAGACCAAGTCTCTATTTTCTACTCATTCATAATAAAGATAGGAATGTTGGCCCAGATTACTTCCTCAGTTTCACATTTACAGCTGAGCTGGGACATTACTAACCCTTTTTACCCATGTAAGATGTTCTCCTTTTCTCATAAAAGGAGTCCACAGACTCACCAGCCTGGGGACCAATTTTTTTAATCCTCACCCAAGAATATGTTTTACCTGATTTTTTTAGAGAGAGGAAGGGGAAGGGAGGGGGAGAGAGAGAGAGAAATATCACTGTGAGAGAGAAATGTCAATCACTGATTGATTGCCTCCTGTATGCGCCAAGACCAGGGATCGAACCTGCAATCTAGGTATGTACCCTGACCGAGAATCAAACCTGCAACCTTTTGGTGCTTGGGATGATGCACCAACCAACTGAGCAAGCCAACCAGGGTCAGCCTGAGGACGATTTGAGTTCCCATGGTGGTGGTGCATTTGACATGATTCATGCCACTCTGTCTTGTCTGACCCCAATATAAACAAAGATCTATTTGCCAAGATTTGAGATACTTTCTGTATCTGTTGAACAGAGAAAATCCTTCTGGCTTTTGGGGAGTGGAACCGAAGACTTTACCTTCATTAGCACCATTACCTACCCATTAAGCTACTGGTCCATATTACATTTCCTTGGATAACACCCTAGGAATCTTAGAACATCAAGCTGGCTAGGTGGATAAAGAGCTTTGGATCCTGTATGTCATGTATTTCACATATGTGCACATATATGTACAGAGACAGGCAGCGGCATCAGGAGAGGGAAACAAAAGAGAAACACAGCAGGGCTGCAAAACAACACAGCCCATGTTCACAACCCCCTATTTATAAAGGCAGATTGAGTCCCGTGCATGGTGGGACTGTGGCTCATTTGCACTCCTTAATTAAAGAGGAAGGCCTCCCTGGTGATTTTACTTCCCTGGGTTTGTTTTGGGTTATTATTATTACAATAATATGAGGAAGACAGCAATGCCCTGCTCTCAGAGAGGATCATTCTTCTGAGCACCGCGGGATGCTGGGAAGACACTAATGAATTCAGAGCACAGCTGAGACTGAATTGCAGCTCCTTGCTGTCCTGCAAGCAAGGGTCCCTCAATGCAATGCCCCTGAATCATTATACTACATGGCAACTCGGGCTGAGGGAGATGGATGGGAAGGAAATGACTCTCAAAGTGTGATTTAATGATAGAAAGGGCACAGCGTACATATGACTGGGCCTCTATTTCCAATGACAGGCCCATTCATTCTTTCCATCCTCATTTATGACATGCTCTTCTAGAGCCAGGCACTGGGCTAGGTACTAGGGAGAGTTGTCCTGGGCTATTGGAAGGAGCAAGCAGGTCATACATCAGCGATTTAGTAGCAAACAATTATACTTTCACCTTCCTTTGTGTTGGAAATACAATCCGATTTAAAATCTTTTTAAACAGGTTACAAAATTCTATAAAGATGTACAAAGTGAGAGAAAATCACATAATGAACCTTTGTCTGCCCACCATCTAACTTGGTAAAATCTTAACATTTTCCCTATTTGCTTTAGATTTTTTGAAATAGTAAAATATTACAACTATAATTGAAGTCTCCTCTACACACCTCCTCTAAGCCACCCTATAGGCAGCCATCATCCTAAATCTGATGTTAATCATTCCTATTCACATTTTATACTACTCTTCACCTATGGGAATCCATAGATAATAAAGTCCTAAGAAGTAAGACTGGGTTATATGCTTTTTAACTTTTAGAAATGACATTCTATTATGCCTATTCTTCTATAATTTGCTTATTGTCAATCAACATAATGTTTTTAAAATTTATCCTTTTTAATCCACATCATTCTAGTCCATTCATTTTAATCCCTACATAATATTCCATTGTATGAGTATTCTATAACTTATCCACTCTTGATGGTCATTTAGGTAGTTCTGCCTTTTTCTTGTTTTATGACTGACAATGTTGCAATCAACATTCCTCTATAAATCTCCCAAGCAGTGTGATAGAATTTCATTAAATTATATGCCTAAAACTGACTCAAAGTGATTGTAACTAAGTACAAAGTAGTACAAGGGAGTTTTCATCTACCCAAATCTTAGCTTATACTTGCTAAGATCAGACTTCAACATTTTGGTCAGCATAATGAGAGAGTAATGGTAGCGTATGGTTGTTTTAATTTGTGTTTTATTAGTTACTGGGGAGCTGGAACATCTTTTCATGTGTTTATTGGCAATTAATGACTATCATCCCACTCTGTCTGTTTTTATTTTGTTTTCTTTCTTATGAGTTGTAGTTCTTTTTAAATTCTGGATACTAGGCCTTTATCAATTATCTGTGTTTCCAATATTTTCACCTACTCTCAGGCTTACATTTAATCTCTGTTTGTGGTATCATTTATTAAGATGAAGTTTTAAATTTAATGTTAGTGTAGTCAGATTTGTAACAGTTTCCCTTATGGTTTTTTCTTCTTTATGTATTGTCTAAGGAATCATTCTCCAACCCTTAAGTCAAAGATGCTTTCCTATACTTCCTTATAAAATTATTACACTTTTGCTTTCAGGTCGAGATTTTTCATGCAGTTGAAATTTATTTTTTGTGTGTCGTATGCTTTTATTTTTCTCCATGTGTTGAACTAATTGTCCATCATTTTCCTGCTTTATCATACATTTTATTTACATTTTTACGTAAGTAAAAATATCAAATTTTTTACTTAGGTGTGGGGCTTGCTGTTGTCCAGTTTACTGCCTCACTTTTTTCCTTGTCCTGCACCAGTGCCATGCCCCTGAATTGCTGTAACACTGTAAGACATCCTGGCACTTGGGGAGGGCAGTTTCTCTACTTTGTCCTTTTCCCAACCGCCTCTTGCTATCCCTTGTCCTTTGCTCTTCCATTTACATTGTAAGCTTGCCCGGTGCCGCGAGGCAATGACTAGAGCAGGCCCTAAACTCTAGACATCTGAGCCAGTTAATCTTAGCTCTGACTGCTGTGACGTACTGAGCACGAAGGAAATGCCAGCCATGGGCTTAGTGCTTTATATACAAGGACGCATTTAAACCTCACAACATCCCAGGGGGCTGTTACTAATGATTATTACCTTGTAGTTGAAGGGACTGGGGATCGATGAGATTAAGTGACTTGGCCATAGTCCCTGGGTTACCATGATGCTAGCCAGAGTACACCTGAGTAAACCCATTCTAATACTATGCCAGGGCTCACCTGCACCTTCAAAAACTTAAAATAATTTTTTTCACTTACTGACAAAACAAGAAAATCAAAATGAATATCCTCCTCACTTGACCAAAGAAGAAACTAAAGCACAGACGAGGTACATGATTTGTCTAATAGCCTAACAATGTCCACTGCAGACCAGAACTTACGCCCTCGACCTCCTGAATGAAAGCCCCTTTGTCCACCCCAATCCTGCCACAGGTTCTTGCCACTGTGCCCTCCCAGGGCAGATGACCGGCATATACACAACCAGAAGGTGACAGTGCCCTGCTCGTCTCCACGGGACACTGCTCAACCTTCAGTGGGCCATGCGGCCCAGCAGGTGAAAATCGGCTCTAAAGATGAAATGGCATCTTAGGCCTGTGGTTTCTAGATGGTTAGTGGCATTTTCACTTCAAGAACCTAGTAGTGGGAGTGGAGACGGACACAACAAAGGTCTCTCTTACCTGTGCTTGCCCAAGGGGCGCCCACCGCCGTCAAAAATCCGCCTTTCACCTCTCTGCTCTGCAGTCCGCCTTCCATCTTCAGGTGCACCCAACCACACACTGAAAGCAGCACTTTTCATCTGATCCAGTTGGGAAACTGCAGCTGGGAATGAAAACAATGCTGTTTTCAATCCCGGTTGGTTGAATCCCCGGATGTGAAACCCACCCCACAGATTCGAAGGGCCAGCTGTATTTAGTGAAAAAAAATCCTCGTCTAAGTGGAACTCCGCAGTTCATACCCATGTTGTCCAAAATTTAACTGTAGTTCAATAATGAAAATACTGGTTAGGAGCTGTCAAGGCGCCAAAGAGAAAAGTTGTTATAAGGAGACACTCACTGGCCCAGGCGGGTGGCTGATGGGCAGACCCCACAAGCAGCAGTTTCTCTCATAAATCTTGACTAGGCCACCAGTGTGCTCAGTGACTTTGAGCAAGTCACTCTAGACAGCCTGGTGTCTGTTCCCTTAGCTGCGAGAGGGAGCTGCATGGAGGCGGGGGCAGGGGCGGGGGCGGGGGCGGGGGGGGGGGGGGTAGTTATTAAGGTGAGGGAATCGGTGTGGTCTGGAAGGAAGAGTGTGATCCTATTAGTGGGCTCTCCCTCTACCAGGGATCTGGAGACACCTAACCTTCCTGAGGCTCAAGGTGAGGAGGTGAGGAGGGCAGTGAAGAAAGCCACAAAATGAACCAAGTGCACTCGGATTCCCCCAAGAATACGAATACTGTGAATGTCTGAGAACTCTGTCTCCTCCCACTTTTTCCTTTTTCATTCTTTATTTTATTACATAAGTATTTTTATCATCAAACTCATTAAACTAAAAAATAACTAAAAATAGTTCATTCATTTCTCCTCCACATCCCCCACCCCTGGCAAACTGTTCTCTGTATCTATGAACTTATGATATTCATGTATACATATATACATATATATTCCACTTAGAAGAAAGATCATATGGTATTTGTCTTTCTCTGTGTGACTTATTTCACTTAGCATAATGCCCTCAAGGTCCATCCATGTTGTCAAACCACTTTTTTCTTTCACTCTCTTGTACTGAAAAAAAGCATTGGTAAATCACATAATTTTCTCCCATGTCAGTCCTCCATCTCTAAGGTAATAGTATAGTTCTGGCCCTAAAATGGGGCAACAGATGTGAAGGTTAGCATGAGGTACTATTAAGTTAGCACCTAAAGCAATTAGAGGGAGGTGAGGACGGGAGGTGGGTGAGAGTGCTCCTGTGGTCTGGGCCCTCCAGCACAGCTGCAGGGGCTGAGAGAGACTGCAGCCAGCCCCACACCTCACAGGAATTGCCATGCTGCCTGGAGGCCCCAGGAAGGAGCCTGGCCCAGCCCTGCCCTCTGGAATGAGCCTGTTTCCTACTGGATTTTATATTAATGAGGTAATTACTGTGTGTGTTTATGCACCTGTGCCTTACTAGTCTCAGCTTCTCTGCATTCCTTCTCCAAGCAATGGGGATCCCTCTCCTGAGCTTTCTCTAGCAGGAGGGGATTAAAAGGAAGGAGGGAAGAAGGTTTCCCTTCCTTTAATTTTGGCTTTAACTTCTGACTTTACCTCTGGTTTTAACAGTTAGAGTTTTAACCACCATAATAGTAGCTGCTATTTACTATATTTCCAGATTACCTACTAGACCTCAGATAATCTTCAAATGAAGTTTTAAACTATTTAATGTTAGTTATTAATTTCACACACTGCAACAGAAGAAACAGAGGCTCTGTCCCCAGTTACCCCTGCCGCCCCCACCCCCTTAAAAGACAAGTTTTAAACTGTTCTCACATGCTCTTCTGGATGATCTATGAGCCAATGAGACCTCCTGGGCCTGTGGACTCTGTAACCAGCACCATACCCATGGCAGATGGGGAGTCCTCCTGGGCACTAGGCACCGCACTGGGGTTCTTTCAGCTCTGCACATAGTGGGAGTTGTGGTCACCTGGCAGGTTGTCAATGAAGAAACAGCCAGAGCCAAAGTCATAAATATGAGATTTACTCACTCATCTTGCCAGGAATTACTCAGCATTAGCTCTATACAAGGAACAGCACAAGGCAAGACATAGACTACACAAGCTGGGGTCCCTGCCCTCAAGGACTTTTCTCACTGGTAGTGGAGAACACACACACACACACACACACACGCACGCACGCACACACACACACGCACACACACGCACACACACGCACACGCACACGCACACACACACGCACACACACACGCACGAAAGTAACCAGAACACAAACCAAGTGCTCTGGGCCTGAAGAGCAGAGAAGGGTTAGGAACGACAAACTAGAAAACTTAGAATGCGTCAGCACTTAATGCTGACAACGCATTTGCAAAACATTTAAGCCATTTGACCCTAAATTTTATTTTTTTTTTTGGTGCTACCACCAACCAGTACATTTTAATGTTAGTTATTAATTTCACACACTGCAACAGAAGAAACAGAGGCCCTGTCCCCAGTCACCCCTGCCGCCCCCACCCCCTTAAAAGACAAGCAAGTCCCTGGGGCCTGAGCTAGACACGCTTCATGTGACAAATATTTTGCAATGTCCTCTTTACTACTACAAAATGAAATTAACTGAAAATACAACTTCAATACACATGATTTTTAAAAAGGCAATTATCTCAATAAAAGAAAAACTATTCCAGATTTTCTAACATGGTCATTAAGGAACTCAACGCAGTGCTTCTGATGCCACCACTGTGATATTTCCAGCATCCTCTAAAGTTGTTTTTAATCAAAGACAATTAAAATTAACAATAAGAATTCTCTAATGTTATTACTTTTTTCTCCTCCAAAAGTAGGAAAATACAGCCTTTTCATCTCAGCACCCTTTCCTGGTTTTGCTGTATAGGTCAGCTCTATACAGTAACAAACAACCCCCGATTCTCAGTGGCTCACAGTGACATTTGTTGCTCACTCGCATCGCTGAAGGCTGTGGGTTGGCTGCTCTGTTCTAGTTTGTGGCTTGACTCCAGGTCAGAGGCTGGCCTGCACCATGTGTTCTTTATCTTCCGAGCTCCAGGCTGAAGGACCATGGGGTGTGCTGTTCCCCAGCCAGAGGGAGAGAGCTGAGAGCTGGGGAACAGCACACCCCATGGTCCTTCAGCCTGGAGCTGAATGACCACAATGCCTCTGAGAGCTTCTGCTCCAAGGATCCACACCAGTCTCATAGCAATGGCCAGGGATGGAGAGTCCTCTCATAGGGGAGGGAGGTGAATAGTTTCAAACTGATCGGATTCACCAGGGCACTGTGGGCAGTCCTAACAGACTCAAGTAGGCACAGAAAAATGTGTTCACCATCTTTCTTTCTTTAAAAATTTTTTTTTATTGATTTCAGAGAGGAAGGGAAAGTCAGAGAGAGATGGAAACATCAGTGATGAGACAGAATCACTGATCGGCTGCCTCCTGTACACCCCCTACTGGGGTTCGAGCCTGCAACCTGATCATGTGCCCCGACTAGAAATGGAACCGTGACTCTGGTTCATAGATGACTCAACCACTGAGCCACACCAGGTGGGCCACCATCTTTCTTAATACCAAGGGTCACAGATTCAACCACTAAGAGGGTGATGGGAACTGAGGCAAAGTGAGGAGGCACCTCATTTAAAGGAGCAGCCACTGTCAGCCCCAGAACGTAGCACAATGTAGAAATGAAAAGCCAAGTCCTCAGATTTTCAGAAAATCAAATAGTTATGCAAAACCTCCTAATTTGTAAAAATTTGGCAACTATTTTAATTTTTTTTAAAAATAACATTATTCTGCAGGCCAAATAAAACATCTAACATCCAAATTTGGACCACTGCTTAAAAGGTTTTGTCCTCTGCTGTAGGGAAATTTTAGGGGAGTGGCAAACTGGGTAGGGGCACTGCTGTTCCAGTAAGGGGGTGACAAAGTTTTTTTCTCATGTATTTTAGTGACTCAGAGAAAGTCAGGTTCATCTGGCCCAGGGTCACTGAGACTCCATCAGTTGACTCAGGACTCAGGTCACGATCTCACTCATGGCCTTTAGTTTTTCTGTCCTGAGCTTCGCTCTCCGAGCTGTGCCAGCTCCCAGGAGAAGCCTTTCAGGCTGATTGACTTGAAAATTAGAGCTCAGATGGCAAAAGAAGAGGGGAATAATAGGGTGAGAGATTGCACTCATCTGCCTCTTTAAATTTTAATATGGAGTGCGATTTGTTAACAAGGGGGAGGTCCTGCGGTAGGGAGGGACATCAATAATTCAGCAGACACTGTCAAGCTGCAAATGGCCCCATCATGCTCAGCTGATGCTCCCAGTTGTGACATGGCCTCTTTCAAGTTCCAAGGGATGAGAAAGGATCAGGTTTCAGCCCTGACTTTCCCCACCTCCCAAATCCTAATGGAACTGGAGACCATTGTACTTGAACGCTGTGACTATGTACAGACCCAGAAGCTAAGGGTCCATAATGCTAAGCTGATCACAGGTCAAACACAGAAGTCCCCTGTGTTAATGCTACCTCCCAACCAGATGCATTTAATGTGCAGGATTTAATAAATTCCCACCCAAAAAAACTAATGTCCCTCTTCTCTGTTTGCCAGATCTCATTTCTACCCCCCTTTTTAAAAAATATATTTTTTGTTGACTTCAGAGAGGAAGGGAGAGGGAGGGAGGGACAGAGAGATCGAGCCCAGACCTGGGCATGTGCCCTTGACAGGAATCAAACCTGGGACCCTTCAGTCTTCAGGGCAATGCTCTATCCATTGAGCCAAACCAGCTAGGGCTCATTTCTACCCTTTTTCAAAACCAAACTCAAAACTCACCTGTTCCTGGTCACTGACTTCCCTGGACGATGGCACTCCTTGTCCAGGGGCAGACAAGCATAACTGGATCCAGCCTATGATATTGGAACACTCAGGCCTTGAATCACATAAATCCATAGAACTTCTTCCACCAACATGAATGAATTGGGCAAGTTTCTGAATCTTTGACCTTCAATTTTGTCACCTTTAAAATAAAAATTACAATGCCCACCTCATTTCAGGATCAAATAAGACAGGGCATGCAAATATATTATGATTATTTTTACAACTTTCTGAACAGATTTCCAGTTGTCTTCTTTCCCACCCACCTGTCCTCTGCATGTTGCCATCTGAGACCACATGTCACATGAGTGAGACTGGGCATCTTCATGCCAAAGAACCAATGACTCAGCTTTATTTTTAACCATGAGGAATAGAAATAGATGAAATTAATGTCAGCCAATTGGTATAGGGGCTACATAGGGCCTTTGATAACCAAGCTCAGAATGTCAACAAACTGAGGCCCTGACTGGCTAGCTCAGTTGGCTGGAGTGTCAGCCGATGTGCCAAGGTTGTAGGATTGATACCCAGTCAGGGCACATACAAGAAAAAACCAATGAAACCAATGAATGCATGGATAAGTAGAACAACAAAGCGATGTTTCTCTTTCTCTCTCTCAAATCAATAAATAAAAATTAAAAAAAATAAAAATTTCAACAAACTTAGCTTTCTTTGGAAGGTCCACCAAACGTCAGCCGCAAAGGGCAAATTGGCAGCATCAAGATGATATTCATTTCCTGTCACTGTTGCTTGGCACACACTGGGCTTTGGATCCACAGAGCCTCTTTGCATAGCAGAACAGGCCCAGTATCGTTGAGAGAGCAGGAAAGGGAGAACACTTCGACCCAGTGGGTTCTCCTTAATGTACCACATTGTCTGGGATGGATTTCATAAAACATAAGCAGTTGCACTATTAGCCAGTAGTAGGCCTGGGAAATGCTGTTCAATAGTTTTTCCATGTCTGAGTGAGGGAGGTGAAGATTAACACTGAGACAGGAAACGCTTTTCTCCTGGCAAAGGGCATGTCCTCTCCCTGTGCTGTTTGGTCACTTGCTTGGGAACAGGAAGCAGAAGCAGAGCTGGGGACAAGAGTGGAGCAGAGGGAAGCAGTTATCCCTTGGAGCAAGGTAAACATCTTAGTTTACAGTTTTAATCATTTGCTCTTCTATAATTCCCTTTGACTCAGTATAACACTTTAGAAAAATGTGAAGTCTCTATATTGCTCTGAGAAATGGTGTCATGTAGAAGAGAGGGATGAGAAAACACCAGAGAGTTTTCTTCTTCCCCATCCACACCTTCCGTGGCCCCTGGGTTGAGGACACTGACTCTATCCGCTGGTCCAGGATTTTCAGGTATGTAATGAATAATCATGAGATGGATGGTGGCCCAATACCAGGGCTGAGAGTGGCAGGCAAGATGGACAATAAGCCCTCTGTGCCCTAACACACACATGGGGAGATAACCAACACAAGGAATAAGAGGTTGGTAGGAAAAAGGGGATGGCAGACAGGCTGATACTTGAGTTACACATTCATAGCCATATAAAGAAATTCAAAATATGAAGGATGGAATAAGTATGCTGTGAATATGTAATAATTTGGTGCTTTCAATACAGTGGCTTTTACCTCCCCTGGAAAGTCTTCTCTATTCAGAAATATTTCTACTGGCCTGTCACAGTGCCTACAATTCCATTATGAAGTGGAATTTTTTACTTTATAAACAAGTTCCACTTGGAAAAACACTACATATTGTTTTTGACTCACAACAAACTTGAGTTGTGGGGAAGGCGGGCGTACATTTCTCAGGTCCGCCAGATGGCCATCTCCTCTGCCACTACTTTAGTCCTACTTCACCATCTCCTTCCTGGGTTAATACGATGGGTCCCTTCCTCATGGACCTCCCTGCTTCTGATCGTACCCTATTCTAGCTCCTTCTCCACAGAACAGCCAAGTGGTCTCTATTAAAGGCTAGTCAACATGTCACTCCCCTGCTTCAAACTCCAATCACGAGAAAGGCTAAATGTATGATATGGACTACAACAGTCTCTGCCTACCGCTCCAGACTCATAACTCACCACCATCCCCACTCCCATCCTATGAACTATGGGTGGTTCTTCACTCTTGCCCCAGGCCTCTGGACCCGCAGCTCTGTCTGCCCAATGTGCCCTTCCTGTTATCTGATCTCACCTGGACAAGTCCTATGAAACCTCCTGGTCGGGATGTGGGGTTCCTCCCACCAATTCCCATGAGATCCTGCACAAAAGTCTATGACAGCACATGTCCTCCTGTTACTCTTATGGCTGTTTCATTGTTAGACTATATGGTCCTTGAATGTTGAATTCACTTGGGTCTTCCCAGCATCTAGGCATGGTATAAAGTAGTTCACAGTAAATAAATTCATTATTTTGATAAGAAAACTAATGCTCAAAGGAGTGTTGAGCTTACTCAAGGTCACAAGCTATTTATTACTAGGGTCAGACAGGCGTGTGCTGTTTTTCTAGTTAAGATATTAATCTTCTCTTCTTAAACAAGACACTAACTCTATAGTCATGAAGGAAATGTTTGTCTATGTGACAAATGATACCATAGAGTTAATACAGATGTGATGCATTGAGAGAAAAATATTTGCAACACATATAATAGGCACATCTCTCTATATAAATGTATAGAAATGGGACTCATAACAATTATTATCCTTGAGACTGGGAGTGGGATGGGGGACTGGTGGTGAAAGGAGCTTTCATTTTTACTTAATTTCAATCATTTGAATCTCTTTCAATGAGGAAGTATATATGAATTATTTGTGTGATCTTTAAAAACTATGGCAATCAACACTCAGATTCATTTGACCAGTGGTCAGCAAACTCATTAGTCAACAGAGCCAAATATCAACAGTACAACGATTGAAATTTCTTTTGAGAGCCAAATTTTTTAAACTTAAACTATATAGGTAGGTATATTGTTATTAACTTAATTAGGGTACTCCTAAGGCTTAGGAAGAGCCACACTCAAGGGGCCAAAAAGCTGCATGTGGCTTGCGAGTCGCAGATTGCCGACCACGGCATTTGACCATATTCAGAGAAATTTCCCCAACTAACCAAGTGTAAAAGAAACTAGCTTAAAAGCTGCCATATTAGCATATGCATTTATAAGGAGGAAGGGTTCTTTCTAGAGACTGGAATACCCAGACCCACTCTCAAGAGAATATTTCCCTAATAAAAAAATATGTAAGAAACCAAATTAGTGAACAGAAGAGGTGTGTTAAGCATGAAATCAGAGCACAGGAAGTCAGATGTCCTTGAGTGATGTTTTATCTGAGCTGAGGTTTTAACTCCAATGAATTATCCACTTGACCCCACCACTTGGGCCTCGAGGCACAGGCTCTCTTTCTGATAATAGCTGTCTCTCTCTGCTCAAGAGTCACTTGAGAATAACGAGCAAATTATCCCTCTGCCACTGTACTTCTAAGTTAGATTTCCTATTTGCACACTGCCCCGTGTCCACTCTCTTTTTTAATGGACTCTATCAGACTATCCTCCTTCTCTTGGTGTTTTTAGTTTCCTGGCAGTGGACAGAGCCCCCTACATTCCCCTAGTAAACAAAGAATAGAGTGGGTAACGTGAGGCAAATTCTGCTAAACAACTGAATCCATTCATGCTAGGGCTTTTTCTCAGCCTCCTCAACCTTGTCCCTAGATCTAGAATTTCAACTAGCTTTGGAGAATTGAACTTCTTCTTTTAAAAAGAAATTTTTTAAATTGATTTCAGAGAGGAAGGAACAGAAACATCAATGATGAGAAAGAACCATTGATCAGCTGCCTCCTGCACCCCACCCTACTGTGGATAGAGCCCACAACCCAGGCATGTACCCTGACCCAGAGTCAAACTGTGCCCTCCTGGTTCATAGGTCAACGCTCAACCACTGAGCAACACGGGCCGGGTGGAACTGAACTTCTGTTGACTATTCTGAATTATCTTCCTGGCTGTGTGACCTTGGGTAATGTTTGTTTCTTTTTACCTAAGACAAATAAGAACTCAACTTCTGCCACCTCACAGAAAATATCTACCCATTTAATAAATGTTTCTTGAGGTCCTTTACTCTGCCCAGACCCATGCTTGTGCTAGAAATACAAAATATATAAGACAGTCCCTGCCTTCATAGCACACCCAGTCTTGTGGGAAAGACATACTCACGAATAATTTCAATACAGAATAATAAAGGCTAACATAGGATCTTATGTTACACCCTGATGGGGAATATGAGTAAGCAAGATTTAGCGAGTTAACTCTTGAGCAGAATTTTGAAGAAAGAGCAAGAAATAGGACAAGGTGAGGAAAGGTGTTTAAAACCAAAAAAACAGTGTGTAAAATTGCGGGGGGTGAGGGGGGCAAGGAGAAAACTGCAAGAGTGACCATTGCACATGCATCTTTGCAACTCTAGTCCGGGAACAGAGACAAAATACTAGTAAATGTTAGTGGAATGAGCACATCTGGATGAGAGAGGAGGAAAGTCTGGACAGAAGTGTGCATTCATTTCCTGTGGCCAGATGTGGGAATGGCTGCATGAGGCTCTTGCACCTGAAGAGGACATTAAACATACAAAGACTAGCACTCACAGTGGGGGTTCAACTCGGGACCCAAGTGCCTCTCTAGATCTTTCACACCTCCGTCCCCTCCCTAATCATACCACCACCCGTCACTACCACCACCCCAGTCTCATCACTAGCCAGCCATTCTGGAGCGGCATTTACTACACTGGCTAGATATTCGGGGTCACCTGGAGATACTTATTAAAAACACACACCCTCAGGCTTCTCCACTGAAAATTCTGGGACGGGGCCCAGGAACATCTATTTTTATTAAGAATCCCAGGCGAGTGTACAATTGGGGAAGCTTAAGGACCACATTGGAGAGGTTCTAAAATATTTATTTGCATCAGAATAATCTGGGTGCTTATTACAATAAAGATGCCTACCCCCAAACCCACAAAAGATTCTACCTCAAAAGCCTAAAGCAGGATCCTAGAAAGCTTCAACTTAATCAACACTCCTAAGAGATTCTGAGAGAGGCTATGCTGTAAGAAACATTATTTTAGAGAGAAAATAGCTTCCTATTCTCTGCCTACAGCCAGTAGGATGTGGGAGTAG